CAAGCATTCACGCAGACGTTTTTTTTTGAATTATTATTTGTTTATTGATGCGTTTTCATTCTGCTTTTTTTTCCCGTTTCCTTAAATGAACAACACACCCTCTCCTTGTTGTTGTTTTTCTTTTGCATGTATGGTCTCTCTTCTTTTTTTTTCTTCTTATGCTCGTGCGTAGTGCTGATTACCAAGTGCTCCATTTTCTTCTCTTTCGTGAACGAAGACAGCATGGGGTGAACTGTGACGTCGGTGAACGATTCTTTTTTCTTTTCGTGCGCGTGTGTTTTCGTCCTGATGATCACTTCATGTATTCTGTCGGCTCTCTGATAGGCAAGGAAATAATACGGATGAACGCTCGTGATAAATGATACTCTCCGGTTAGGTAGATGAATCTGAATGATTTAAGTAGCCGTTTGTGTGTCTTTTATAGAACGTGATGAACTCCGTCACAACCGTGTCTCGAAAATGGTGTGCTACACGTTCCACGTCGCCAATGAAATTCAAAAAAAAAGGCATGCACGCTTTAACGGCTGGGGGACACGTCGCACGCGTTTTCTTTTCGATATACTCTTTTTTCTTCCTCCCATCTTAAATAAATAAATAAATAAATAAATATATATATATATATATGTTTAACTCTACTTCTCCTTTCTATTTTTCCAAAAAAAAGAAACGCTATTAAATGAGGAGCATTGCGATTGCTGACATCTTTTTTTTGTCGTTGACTCTTTTTCCCCCCTTTTCTGGTGCGTTTGTTGCGGTGCATCCCCGTTTTTTCCGTGCTGTGAGGAGGCATGGAATCCCTGCCTTTAGCGATCCTCCTTATTTGTTTCTTTACTTGTAGAAAAAAGAAGAAGAAAGAAAAAGAAAGAGAAGCGCTCGCTGTATTGAAAGGGCAATTTTTGTTGTTGTAGCTGAATTCACACAAGAGCGATAAGTTGTTTAATTCATGCGGTCTTTTTCTTCTTCAAACATTTGAAGACAGTGTGACTTTTACGCAGGTTTACCGACTTAGTTTTTTTTTGTTTGTTTCTCTCTTTCCTTATGCTTTCCCCCTTTGTTTCTCTTCTCTATCATGTCGTTTTCGTCATCGGTGGCTTTGAGTCGGTTTATGGTAGGCTCCAGGTGTTTTTCCTTTTTTTCTTAGTTCGTTATTTTGATTTTCTCGATATAGTTCCCTAAACTGTGTTATTATTATTATTTTTACCTGTTGCTCGTTTGTACGTTTCTTTTTCCTTTCCTTATTTTTTTTGTTTCTTTCCTGTAATTTCATCAAGGTGAAGATTTGTTCCTTCATTATTCTCTTAGAGCTTTCCGGCTTGAATGATACTCCCAATTATGACGGTGCCCATGAGGCAAAAACAACAAAGTGGTTCCCCGCAAAAAAGAAGCAGCGAATGTGTCGGTCAAAAAGCGATTCTTTCTAACGATTTCCTTGGAGCCGTCGAACGAAGTACGCAGCGGGTATTCGGTGGAGACAGGTCGGTGATCAACGACTGCCACTCGTCGCACAGATATGTTGGCGTATTCGCAAGTGGCAAGGCGGTGGAGCCTTCTCAGCCCCGCTGTTCATGCTTCTCCGCCAAAACAACATTGTTTTAGGAACGTTAGGCAGATGAAACAAGAGGAGAGTCAAAAACGTCTCATGGCCCGGCGGAAACAACTTTCCGATGTACTTCAAAACTAGAGAAAAAAACGTAAAGCAGTGCTCTTTCTCTTCCTGAAGAAGTATTTGGAAAACATAACGACACCTTCCACAACATAGTCGCTTTGCAGTCAAACCTTCCCTATTGTTGCTTCCAGCGTTGTTTCTTCTTCCCTTCCCCTCCTCTTTTACTGCTGCATCTCTTCTTCGTGCTGGCCGATGCAGACAGTGTGCACTCAGTCTAACGCAGTTTTTGTATTTCAGTGAGGCGCAGCTGCTGTTTCGACTGCAAGTGAGTCTGTGCGGAGTTTGCACCGCTTTCAAAGGGAAAAGGAAAAGAAAACGACGTCCTGTCGCCCGCACATGCAAAAAGAAATATACTGCCCGCACGTCTCAAACGGTTACTCGGCAACGTGTGTTGTCGCAAATATCACCTAGAAAACTGTCCACTAAAGGGTTTAGAACTCCGCCCCACTCGTACTCCTACAAATTAAAGATTGATTTCTGCCGTGAGAGAACCAACGGTCAGATGCACGAACAGCGTCGTGATGCACTGACGGAGGACGAGGTTGAAGCGGCGCCGCAGCTGCCGCTTACGGATGGCCGCTACTTCGCCTGCCGCCGCTGCCGCCGCATTCTCTCTGAGGCGCAGTGGTTCTCAGCGGGGTGTGTGGAGTGCAGCTCCACGATGGGCGTGCCAGACCGTGACAACTTACTCGACTTCGCCACACCGCACTTCCACAACTTCATCGGTCTCATCGCACCAGGTCAGTCATGGGTGGCTCGCCTCATCATGAAGAGCCGCGCCGAGACGAACGGCATCTTTGCGGAGACCCTCTCAGACGACGACACAGATGGTGACGAGGAGGAGGTGGAAGACGCTTTTGGAGATCGATACGTAGGGGACGAGGAGGTAGAGGAAGAGGAAGCGCCTGAGGCCGCGCTGGCTGCGGATTCGGTGGATTACCTTCACAGCGACTCTGCCGAGAAGGATCGTGATGCGACACCGGCCCCGGAGCTTTCTCCTGCACCGGCGGTGACCGAGGCAGTTGCCGGGAAGACGGCTGACGTGACTAACGCGGTGGAGGATATTGCTTCGAGGGAAGTGAAGCGGGTTAAAACGGAGATAGATAGCGAGGTGTCACACGCCGCCGCCGATGCGCCGCGCGATGAGCCTGATGCGTGAGTTGACGTGGTCCGTATTGGGGGAGGGGAGGAGGGAGAGAGGTGGCTGCGTGAACGGTTGTTGGTAGCAGATGTGAGACTGTTGAGTAACAGCTGGTTTTTTTTTGCGCGTAATAAGCGACTACGATGCATTAAGAGCATTCGCTTTGCGTTCGACTGTGTGTGTTTTTTCCTTGGAAAAGAGACTCGGATCTCACACTGCAGTGATACTATGGGACATGGGGGTCTGCGGTGGATTAGAACACAAGAAACCAAACCGAGGCCTTTGTTTGCTTCTTTGCAGACACACACACACACACACACACACACACTGACACACACGCGGCAGCCCTACCTACAGCTGGGGGTTGGCGGTGAAGACGAGTGCTTTGTCAAGCGTTTTAACTGGGCAACTTGTGGCGTTTCCCCGATCCGCCATCAGATTGGTTTTCATTACGTGCTTCTGCTATACCGCTCTCTACGCATACTTTCTTTTTCCTGCGCTCTCTGTCTCTCACACACACACGAGTACATTCGTCAAGTAAAGCGCAGCCTTCTCGTTGTCTGCGGTTCCCTCCCTTTTTTTTTATTGGTATCTGTCACAGCTCTCGCGCTGCGTACATTAATCCCCCGGGGAGTGAACGAACTGAGCAAAGAAGAAAAACATCAACCACAAGGAGATGCAGGCATCGGCTGAGCTACGAAATGCAAATCGCGCCGGCACATGGCCGGCGGCTGGAGCCGATGCGGTGACGGCAGCCGTAGCAGGATCACAAACCACGGACGGATCAAATTGCCCTCCCCTCACGATGAACGCCGCGTCAGACATGCCGACGGCTGCACACGCCTTCGCGGCATGCTGTCGCGCCCTCAACCACAAAGCCAACACCGCACTAGTGGAACAGTTGCCGCTGTTGCAAAGCGGCACCGTCGTCGACCTCACCCGCAACTACGTCGGCGCTGCGGGGCTTCAGGCGATCGCGGTGGTACTGCCCTTCAACCGCAACGTGACCGAGGTTCGAGCGCCGCGCAATGGACTGACCAACGATGCGGTGGTGATCTTCTGTCGAGCCATGCGTGAGCACGCTCGCCTTGCCGTGTTGGACTTTTCCGACAACACAGACATCTCGCTGGCGGGTGGGCTGGCGCTGCTCTCTCTCGCGCAGGTGATGCCGTCGCTGCGGGAGGTGCGCCTTGACGGTACCCACGTCCCGTCGGCGGTGCTGGGCAAGCTGAGCCGTGCGCTGGAGATGAACGCGGCGAGAGCACCTACTGCAGCTTCAAAAAAAGCGTCTCCTGCTTTCGCTTCGTCCTCTGCGCGCAAGCCCATCTCATCTCGGCCGACAACCGCATCGAACCAGTCAGCTGCTACCCAGCAGAAGGAAGGCGAGGCCGCGTTGCTGTTCGCGTTGGAAGAGCGGGTCCGCGCTGCTGTGGGGGACGGCTATCAGCTGCCTCCCGCTGTCCCCTCCACGGGCTGGCGTGTGCTGGAGGTTCCTATTCTCGCCCCACCGTTTCTGTTTGACACGGAAATTCAGCTGCTGTGCACGAATGTCTTTCCGCGCTTAAATCGCGAGTTCGCGCCTTACCGACTTGTCTTCTACCCTGTCGTGGTGCTCGGTGCAAATAGCGATGGCGTCAAAAGCGATGGGACGGACACGGCGCTGCGGACCGGCCGAGGAGGGCAACCGGCGCTTCGCACCGTCGGGTCATACAACCGCGAGCTGCACTTTTTGCCGGTGTGCGATGTCACTACTGCCGTCGCGCGTGGACGGTTTGCCGCAATCGAGCTGGTAGGCGACCGCCCCGGCGACTACGCGCAGATCTCGGCTGCTGCGATGCTGGAGCTGCAACAGGACGGCCCTGCCGCCCACCGGAACTGCTCTCGCTTCCAGCCACCCGGTGATGACGATGAAAGGCGGGGCGATGGCGCAGCTGCCACAGCGGTGGATCGTCAAGACCCCCTGCAGCCGGTGTTGTATGCGGCCCACGAAACAGCGCTGCGCCGCACGCAGTGGCTCCTGGTTGCGACTCGACGCGAAACGCGCTTCATGCAGGTGCCGGCAGCGTTCGCACCCCTCCTCACGGCGGACCCCTTGGTGGCCCACCCAGATCGCCACCGCACCGTGGTGCGCGACATCGTCTACGATGACGCCCTGGCCGCCACAGCCGCACGGGGTGCTCGCAAGGACCCGGCAAACGCACCGGCGAGTGAGCTGAGCGATATGGCGCGGACGCTGGAGTGGGACTACGGTGCGGAGGAGTATCAGTGGAAGCGGCATCTGGCGTGGCGTCGTCACGTCGTGGCCTCTGCCCCAGTAAAGGAGTTGGTGCTGTCGCAGTACAGCGCCACGTTCGACGGCACGGACGCCTCCGGCGCGGTGCGGCTGAAGGATTTGGAGAGTTTTGAGGCCGGCGTTTACGATCGCCTGCGCGTCCTCGTGCGGGCCTCTCTGAGCTCCTGCGCCTCCCTTGTCGAGGGAGACGACGCGGCGACGGCAGCCGAGGATGATGTACATAGCATTTTCCACCAATTGAGTCTGCGAAGGCTGTGGAACAGCACCTTTGCCCAGGCCGTCGCAGAGCTCAGCAGCGGCGCCTTTAAAAAGAACGTCATGAATCGTGTCGTGCTCTACGCCGCCAACCCACCGAGCCGTAACTCGCTGCTGCTGCACGGACACGATGCCACAGGACTGGCGATGTTCATGTGCCGCGCCGCAAGTCGTCTGCAGAGCTTCCAGTACGTCTACACGCTGGCCTTCTACACAGCCCGGTCCAGCGTCTTGCTGGAGGAACCGACGGACGTGCGCAGCTTTGTGGTGCAACTTGTGTCACAGCTGACCACTGATGCTGCGGTGCTGCGCTACGTGCACGCCGAGGTCGACACGGCGCGGCTGTGCACCTTCTTTCTGCAGCTTCTCTCCGGTACGGTGCGGAACTCCAACACGGTGCGGAACTCCTCCACCACGACGAACGCTGTGGGTCGTGCGACGGCCAACGCCGTGTTCAGCGCGGCTGGGCTTCCGGACTACGTGGCGCAGTTCGTGCTGGGTGCGAAATCGCCCCGCACCGAAGGCGATGAAGCGTCGACGGATGGAAAGACAACGGAGGATGGCGAGACGGCAGCAACAGCAGCGTCAGCGGCGCCGCATGCGTTTGTGATTGTGGCAGACGGCATCGACAAACTCGTGCCACCGGTGCGGCCGTGTGGTGCGTTGGTGTACGACCCAGACGGCAGCAGCGGCCTTGGCAACCGCGCCGAACCAGCCGACTGGTCCGACGACAACAATGCGCGCGCAAACACACGGGCCTCCGAGTCTCTCCGAACGATGAGCCGCCGCAACAGCACCGACGTTCCGAGTCCGCTGGACGCGCTGTTCCCGCGCGCGTTGGCTCGCAACGTGCGTTTCATCGCGGGCTGCGAAACCGATAGCGCCGCTTTCGACGCTCTCCGTCAGCTGGGCCGCGACAGCGCGGAGACGCTGAGCCTCGGCCCCGCCTCGGCCAACGAGGTGGAGCAGTACCTCTCCCCTGTCATCCTTTCTCGCCTCGGACTCAAATTCTCCGAGGACGACTTCGAGTGCGCACGGGCCAAGGAAGATGCGACGAGTGGCGAGTACGTGCGCTACCTGCAGGACGCAGCGCGTGGGGCGCAGGAAGCACCTGGTTTTTTGACGCAGGCACAGGTGATTCAAACCTTTCCGGAGACAACGGCTGGAGCAGCGCAGGGCGTGTACGACCGCCTTGTGTGCGTCTTCGGCCTCCCGCTAACGCGCAGCGTGTTGGGCTTTCTGACAGCGTCGCGATGGGGACTGACCGTCCCCGAACTGCGCGCGCTTCTGCCGCGGCTCTCTGCGTGTCGGCTGCAGGAACTATTGCGGCTGCTGAGGCCGGTGCTGGAGGCGGAAACGCCACCGGAGGCCTCTGTCGTGATGGGGTCTGCGAGCGGCAACGCACAACTCGGGGCCGTGCGCCTGCATGTGCCGTCCTTCCTCGACGTCGTGCACCGCGAGGCGCTGCAGGCGGTGACCGATGTGCAGCAGATGGACAACGACCAGCGCGTGTGGCACACCCAGTTAGCACAGTACTACTTGTCGATTGTGTACCGATCCCTCGGCACGCGCAAGGCGGACCGAAGTGGCGCGCGACGGAGCGTCAGCGGAGTCGATGCTGCCGCAACGGCCGGCGATCCGAATGACCGCCCCGAGTTGTTGGCCGAGCAGCGCCGTGCCATGAAGGAGGTGATCTACCACATAACCCAGAGCGGTGCCTTCTGGCCGCAGCTCGACGTCATCGTTCTGTCGCTTCCGTTCCTGCAGCAGGTGTACGAGCTGGGTCTGGGCTATGCCTACCTGCGCGACCTTACTGCCGCCTTCAACGAGCGCTACCAACGTCATCTACTTGGTGAGGATATCGGCGAAGCCTCGTGGCAGCGTACGCAACCGCAAACAGATGCAGCGAAAAGCTCGCGCCCAGCGTCAGGTACCGTTGCGAACCCCGATGCCTCGCGGTACGCCCTGCCCGCCGTGCTCACACGGATGCGCGATTACGTGCGCTTTGCCCACGATAACGGTCTTCTGTTGTCTCTTCGCCCCTCCCTCGTCACCCAGATTGCGCTTCAGATACCCGCCAGCACGTTGAACAGCGTGCATCGCGACGCCGTAACGTTTTCGTTCCGCCAGCTCTTGCAGCCGCAACAACAGACGCAGGGCGGCAGCAAAGACACCCAACAGGCGCAAGCCGAAGTCGACCTGCATCGCTCCATCTACTTCACCTTGTCGACAAGCGCCGCGGCCTCCAGCAAGAGCGCTGCCACACATCTCGGCCCCGTGACGTGCGCCGCGTATTTGCCGAACCGCAAGTTCATCGTGACGGCGAGCCGCGATCGCTCGCTGGCCTGGGTGAACCCGCAGTCCGGCACCGTCGTCTGGCACGCGCGGCAGCCAACGGCCCCGCTGGAGTCGCTCACCATGTGCCGCACCAGCGCCTACGTTGCCGCCGTCTCTGGCGACCGCACCGTGTGGATTTACGACGGACTGCAGGGGAAACTAGTGACGCACTGCCGTGGCTGCGAGTGGTTTGACGCGCCGATCGCCTCCGTTGTCTTCTCCGCACGCGGTCGCTTTCTGTGGGTGGTGACGACCGACACCCGCGCGCGCTGCTTCGAGTGCGAGACGGGGTACCTGCGGTGTACGCTGGGCGTGTCGGAGTTGCTGCTGGAAGGCTCGGGGAAGCAAAACGCTGGTCCGGCTGAGGTCCGAACGGATGGTACTGAAGGTGACGTGGATGATGTCGACGCCGAGGCGACAAGCGAGCCGCATGACGGGGCGGTGGCGCCCGGCACTGCGGACTGGCACCAGCGTCAAAATTTCCTTTCTGTGCTGCCCGACCCAGACGAGGATGAGGTCTGCACGACGGTGGTGGCGCACGAGGTTCGCCAGTGGCAGCTGCAGCCGTGGAAGTCTGCAGTGCAGAGTGACGGAGCGGCTTCGCTTGAGGCGGAGGACAAGGCGAAGGAGAAGTTGGTTGCGTTCGATATGACAGCGCGGTGCCGCCTTCTTTTCGCAGATGACACGGCAGTGGAAGTCAAGCCGTCATGGACGCGGCCGGAGGGGTACAAGGTCGCCGTATCGTGGGACCTGCCGGCGACGTGTCAGCGGAGTGAATGGCGTCGCGCTGTGCATGCGTTTGCCTTGCCCGTCGCACACAAGGCGGAAGTTCATCTGCTCGCCCTTCCATTAGAAGCGGTGAACGACCAGACTATGGCTGCAGCGGTGCGGTGCGTCTGTGCTTCTCCCCTCTCGGATGACGAGGAGGTGGCCGTCATGTGCGCCTCTCCAGACGGTACGTGGTTGGCGGTGGGCATGAGGAGTGGCAGGATTTGCCTCTTCGACATCAGCAGCGCCTATCGCACCTGGACGAAGGAGTTTCTCTCCACTGGTGGTGCGTCCGATTCCCAAGTTCCGGGGCTGACAACGCCCGTGGTGTGCGAACCAACCTGTCAGTATACGGGTCTGATGCCGGCTCCCGGCGTGTTGTCCGCGCCGATTCGCACGCTCGCCTTTCACCGCGATGGTCGTCTTCTCTTCGCCTTGGGCCGCTCTCTCAAGTGCTGGCGCGTGCCGTTGGGTGCATCTTCACAGGGGGAGAGTTCAACGAAGGAGGTGGGGGAGTACGTCTGGGCGCAGACACTGACGTGCCTTACCGTCTTGCCTCCCCCTGCCGTACCGAGCCGCGATGCAGAGCTGCCTTCTAACGTGGCGGACGTGTGCGTGGGTGACGAGACAGGTCAATTGACGCTGCTAAAGCTGTGGAAGCCGAATTACTGAAAACAGAAGCAAAATTAGAACGCCCTTTCCTTCACAAACGCGTGATGTATCGTTGGAAATGCTTCGCTTTCCCCCTCCCCCTCCTTATTCCTGGCCTGGCTTTATAGAAAGCTGTATTGAGCAGCCGTGATGTAAAGGTAAGCACGGAACTGTGTTGTAGTGCCGTTTTTACGAAGACCTCCTTCTCTTTTTTTTTTCAATGCGTGAACGATGTAAACGAGATATGTATGCGTGCTTGAGAGCTCTTAGCAATGAGACGGTTTCCTTCTGGATGACCTGGAACGTCTGTATATATTTATTTACGTGTGGATAACGAAGCTTTCAAAATCGATAATAATGACGAGCAACCAAGACGCTGCACGGCTGAGCGGATGCTTTGTCGCTTCGCCGATGCTTCAGGTGCGTGAAACGTGAGATCCGCACGTGTTCTCAACGTTGTTGTTTTTTCGCTGTCTAGCAGCTGCAACAGCGGAAGAAGAGCAAAAGAGACCACAAAACCGAAAAGGACGCCCCAGTTGTAGACGTTTCTTTTCGTGTTTGTGGGTGTTTACACCTCTTGGAAAAGCCCTTCCACATAGACACACAAGTGCACCCTCTATTCTGCGACTGCTTTGTCTAAGCAATGCTTTGCCTTCTCTTTCTTCTCTCCTTTTTTTTTTAAATCTCCGCAGTACAAACTTTCTCATAACTTGCGAGGGGGAATTAGCTCAGGTTGAAAGAAAAGGATAAACAAAACTTGTATTATCGATAAGGTTGACAACGAAGCAAGTATATATAGCGCTTACCGTTACATGTAAGGAAGCAAAATAAAAAAACGGGAAAGGAGTCGAAGTGCATGCATCATGTTTTTGTGTAGATTAGCACCACCACTTACAAGAGAACACAACTTGTTTACAGTAGCAGTTGAAAGCCGTGTCTCTAAAAGGCGAGCAATTTCTTCCGACTCAGCCGAGCATACACGTATACGCCGGCAGAGCACTCTTCGGCTCCCCATAGTAGTTTTACATTTATATTTACTATTTTCGTGGTTTTTTATTTTTATTTTCACGCTCAGCACTCTGGTGCGAAAGACGAAATCCTTCGGCAGTGTTTTGCTTCTTCGATATTGGTAAACATAGGTTTGTGTTGTGAGAGTTTGGCAGCTGTAGCTCAGGTTCGAGTTCCTTAAAGAAGGCCGCCTGTTAAGAATCTCTTCCCCCCCCCTTTTTCTTGGTTCATATAGTAGCGATTTCTTTATTTTGAATAACGTCAAGTAGTCAGAAAACGCACATCATGCCGCGAACGTCTGCGACAAATGCGGCGGAGCCACTATCCTCCTTCATCCCCTCGCGGCACAACCGCTCCTTCTCGGAGCAGACCACGCCGTCGTCCGTCGTCGTGTCCATGACATCCTCCTACAAGGGACCGCTGCGGGGTCGACGTCCCCCTGTCGGGGTCACGGCACTGCAGAAGCGACGCTTTCGCACGCAATCCTCTACGGACGGTCAAGGATCACGCCGGACATCCAACCCGGCCGCCACAGCAACCGCCCCTTGCAGAGGGGAGGCTCATGTCTTCACGGTGCACACGCGCCCCACGGAAGACCGTCGGGTGGACAAGGGCGCCTCCACCGGCGACGCAGCAGGGAGTAAGACGAGCAGCAGTAGTTGTAGTAGCAGCAATAAGGCGAAGCCGAAAGAGATCTCAAGCAGCGGAGAGGAAATCGTATTCCCTAAGATCAATTCGGTAGGATCTTTATCGAACGTCTCTCACTCGTATTACTCTAGCGCTGCTGCGCCGAAGGCACAAAACAGAACCGATGAAAGCGCAGCAAAGTCGAACAAAACAGGTGAACGCGAGGCGGCACGTGACTTCTCCGCCTCTGCGCCCGTCACCTCATCGTCCTCCGTTTTTCCGAGTCAGCACAGCATCAAAAAAATGAGTCCAACCTCGCTGAATCGAACCGCAGCACCCACGATGCGCGGCGTGAAAGACACCGTGGATGAGCCGCCTTCCTCTTCTTCCCCTGCGATCCCTTACAATGACCGCAGCGACGCTACCCATACCGCACCGCCATCTAACAAACGACGCACCAGCAACAACTCCTCATCCTCTACTCCGAACGCGGACGGCTTGGTCACGCCGGGTGCCGTAAAACACAAGGCGACGCCTCCCCCGCCACAGGAAGTGTCGCTACCGTCGCGCAGTGAAGCCGTTGCGTCCTCCAGCGCTCCGCCAACCACGTTGTTGCCGCTTCCCTCCACCGTGTCGAAGCCGGTAAGGAACGCGGAGGGCGGCACGGAAGTCCACAGCAGTAGTGTGGCGGCGTCAAGCACCACCGCGGCAAACGTCGACTCTGCCGCCCCCGCGATTCCCTCTCGCTGCTCTCAGCTCGTCTGCCCTCACGTAGAGTCCGCGTCCTCCTCCGTCGCCCTTCCGCGCGTGAGTTGTCAGCCGCCGGTGCTGCGCACCGCGTCGCAGCAGTCGTTAAGCAACTCGCAACGCGCCAAAGAGGCCCTGCTGCGGTTCAGCGCAGAATCCACTGGAACTGACGCAATGCGCGACACAAGCTCCGCTACGCTGTCGCTGCAACCTTCTACGTCGACTCGCTCTGCGCCTCTGCAGCCGCACCCGCCCACCACCCTCCTTTACACCTCTTCGGACGCTCCGTCGGTTGCCTCCAATTCTTCGCAGTCTGTTCAGACGCTTCAGTCTTCCACTGCAGTCACAAACGCTGCCGTTGTTTCGTTATCGCACTCGATGAGCCAATCTTCTGAAAGGGAACACCACGCCCATCTTCCCTCGCGGGATGCTTCGCATGTCAAGGGACTGTCGACGCCCGGCAGGGCGCACAAGTCGCATCACCCTGTCTTGCTGCCCGCCATCATGAACCTCTACAGCTCCCCGATCTCACTGCGCAATTTCGGTTCCACGTGCTACCTCAACTCGGTCGTGCAGTGTCTCTTGCACACCCCGGGGCTGCTGCGCGCGCTGGACAAGGACCGGCAGCGCATCATTAAGGAGTGGGAGGCCAAGAAAGGGGGAAGATTTGATGAGGAACACCGGCGCAGCTGCGCGGAGCGGAACGCGCCGGCGACATCCGCGCTGCTCGACCTCGGCACCGCGAAACCACGGCAAGATACACCAACACCGCAGCTGCTGCTGAGCCTCAAAGCGGCGTGTGGGGAGTGCAACGAAGAGTTCGCCGGCAAAGGGCAAAACGACGCCCACGAGCTGCTCATCACGCTGCTGGGCGTGATCGACAAGGAGGTCTGCCGCAGCAAACCGGAGGCGTACCAAACGATGAAGGATGTCGAAAATGAGTGCAAGCGCGACGCCTACGCGCGCTGGACGGAGCGGCTTCGTCAGGAGAACAACTCCACCATTTACGACCTCTTCGGCGGCGTCACGTGCAGCACGGTGCAGTGCGCGACCTGCTCCCTCGTCTCGTACCGCTTTGAGGCGCTGCTGGATATTTCGTTGCCCATGACCTACAACAACGGACCGCGCGCGGCTGCCCGTACCACCGCCGGCGACGGCAAACACGGGAGTGTGCGGCCGGAGGAGGTGGTCGCGGTCGATCTGCTGCTGCATGACATGTTCTTCAGTGATCACGGGGAGTTTCTGTCGGGACCGATGCAGGTCACGTGCGATCGCTGCAAGAAACTGCGCGACAAAACGATCTGGTCCACCATGGAGCAGTGGCCGCCGATTCTTGTGCTGCATCTGAAGCGCTTCAATAACGCCGGGGTGAAGAACGAGTCCGCTGTGGTCTTTCCGTGCACTTTCTGTCCATTTGGTCGAGTGAAGTATCAATTGTATGGTGTGTGCTGCCACCGCGGCACCGCCTCCTTTGGCCACTACACGAGTTACGTCTTCGTGGAAGGCGACGCGGCGACAGTGGAGTCGCCGCTGCGCAAATCGAGTTCGCACAACTGCGACATCGCAAAGTCACACTTCGGTGACCACGCAGGCGACCTCGATGCCCTTCGCGGTGCGTCTTCCGGCAGCTTTGCCCGAGGTGCGGACGACAGCTTCGGTCTCGGTGAAGGGTCCGATCTGTCTTTCGGAAAAAGCACACCGCAGGTGACGACGCACGGCAGCAGTGGCAGCAATGGGAGTTTCAGCTCCGGGAAAGGTGGGAAGTGGCATTTCTGCAACGACGAGTCCATCACGGCGGTGACGGCATCGGAAGTGGTGAGCAAGACGAAGGAGGCGTACATTCTCTTCTATCGCCGTGTCGCGTAGTTCTACCCCAAGAGTGTCTTTTCCGCGTCGGTGAGACTCTTTTATTGATGTGAAGGTGTTCTGGTGGAGTGTTTCTTCGTCTCCTCCCTCTTACTTTTGTTCTGTGCAGCATCTCGAGAGGGCCGCATGCCTCTGTAGGGAAGTGGTGTTTCTTGCTAAACATATGTTGCTGCAGTCAACGGGTGTTGTGGTCTTTTGGCGCCGTCTTGAGCCGCGGTAATGTTTCAATGCGCATTTGTTTCTTTCTGGTTTGTGTCTTCGTGGAATTTCGTGTCTTTTTGTTGAATCGAAAATCGAAAGATGCGGGCCAAAATCTAGCGGTCTGCTAAGCGGTGCTTCTACACGTAACTTATGTATATGTATTCCTTTTTTTTTTTGCTTTCCACGAGGGGATTTTCAAGTGGAGTTGTCGCCCCAAACCTTTGCGGAGCCCGTCGTTTTTTTTTTGTTTTTCTGACATTTGCCGATGCTACACGATTCACTTCGGGTTCTGGTGTACTCACACGCCGTTAACCTTAGTGCTCATAATGCATCTCATTGGAGAAACGTCTGTGATGATGTTCGACGCGCTCTCAATGTGTGTGTACAGTCTCTGCCATTCCACGCCTGTTCTTTTGATTGCGTTGATATATATACGTACCTTTTGGTCTCTCGTTTTTTGCGATCCTTTTGTTGGTTGCTAAACCTGGATCCGCGCGTCACACCCACAGAAATGGGAAAAAAAACGGAAACCGAAAAACGAAGAAGGGAGCACTCAATTTTCCACGACGGTGAGGCGCTGCGATTGATGGATTTTGCGCAACGTTCCAAAGCACGCCCCCCCCTTCCCTCCAACGACGTAAAGATGTGAAGCGGCAGTCTGTTTAAATACGGTAGCTTCCGTTGCTGCGGAAGACGCAAATTTCGCGCCAGTACTCAAAACCAGGACGTTTTTTTAGGACCTTCTATTTCGGGGACGATCAACAAGATGTGCTCTTATGAGCCCTCAGTATATTTTTCCCCTCATAACATCTTCAATGTTAGCTTTTCTTTTTCCCGGCTGTGTTCCATCTGGGCGTACGAGATACACGCGCATGTCTTGCTCCTGCTATTAGTGCATTCGATATGTAGCTTTGTGTTGTGAAAGCTTGCGCCAGGAAGAATTCGCCGAGAGATGAATGGAAAGCTTCATGTTGTATACTTTCCCTTTCTCTTTCTCTCCCCTCCAGTCGACCTCTCTCCGGGAAAGGCCGTTTTTGTTTTGTTTTCTCTTTCCAGCTTATCGATACAGGCATCACTTTGAGCTCACGGATCGTATTAATTATTCTCTTCTTTGTCGCCCTACTGCGGCCAACTCCCTATATCACTGCACCACACGGAGCACAAAGAGAAACACTGGATCTTCTAGCGTCGATCAACGAACTCGCTCGCACACATACACAAAAGCGCCAACTCGTTTTGCGTCGCCGCCGTTGCCTTGGCTGCAGAGAGAATAAATCACCGTGTTATCGTACGTGCTTTTTCCAGTTCCCCCACACAAGAAGCCGATTCCCCTCGCACCGCGATCTCCTCTCCCGCCTTCCTTTTCCTTTTCCTTTTCCACCTCTTTCTCTTCGATTCGTCGGAGAGTTCACCAAAGCCATGGCAGCGGGTGTTCCCATCTCCGTGAAAGTCGACGTGCCGTTGCAGGTGCAGGGCCACGGCACGCTGGAGATGTCCTATCACCTTTACCCCATTACGATGCGCCTGCCCGGGTTCATGAGTGACGCCCGCTTCAACCGCCGCTACAGCGACTTCGAGACCCTGCGTGCGCAGCTGACCGCGGTGTACTGGTACTGCATCGTGCCGCCAATCCCAGAGAAGGAGTCCGTGCAGGACAAGCTGGGGAAGCTGCCGCGCATGGTGACCACCGGCGGCAAGGACACGCCCAGGGCAGAGACGGATCTGCTGGAGTACCGCCGCATCAGCCTGCGCCGCTTCCTGCAGCGCCTCGCCTACCACCCCATCCTCGGCAAATCGGAGCTCCTTCAGAAATTTACAAACGACAACGAGTGGCGGCAGTGCACCCGCGACCCGGTCAAGTCGCCGCCGTTTCTCGCCCCTTCGCTGGAGGAGCGGGCGAAGTCGTGGGTGTCGTCGAACGCCGGATCGAATGCGGTGGGCAGCGCCGGTGGAGGAGGAGTTGCCGCCGCTGCTGCTACCGCAGGAGGAGCTGGTGGTGTGCCGATCAGCCCCAGCGGTGCCGCCTATCAGTCGGCCTTGACGCAGGAGACGGTGGATGCCTCGACGTGGAAGGCCACGGTGGAATATGTTGCGGGCTTGGAGACAAATTTGAAGAACCTGCGTAACTTGCTGGAGACGTTGGTGGACCGCCACCGTCGCAACGCCGTTGCCGTCAACAACTTCGCCGCCTCCTTTGGCCTGCTTGCCGAGGGAGAAGAGGACGCGGAGCTGCGCGGTGCGGTTGAGGGGGTGCGGGACTGCGGTCGCAAGGTGGCGGACGTCTACAGTAAACACGCCGACAACGAGTCCACCCGCCTCGTCAGCACGCTCAGCTTTTACGTTGGCATGTGCGCCGCCGTGCGCGAGACGCTGTCGCACATGTTCAGCGCCCAGCACTACCTGCGCAACTTGGTGAAGAAAGGCCAAGACTTGCAGTCCAGCATGGCCCGTGGTCAGCAGAGCAACGTAGCGCAGATTCAGAGTGACATTCAGTTCGTGAATGAGCAGCGAGCCCGGTTGGAGGAGGATCTTCACAGCGCCGAGAAGACGTTCCGCGACGAATTTGTACTTTTTCACGAGAACAAGCAGTACGACGCGAAGGACATGCTGAAGAAGTTCGGCGTGCTGGAGCTGAGTTTTTCGGAGTCCATGAAGCAGGAGTGGGAGGCGCTTGTCCCGATGATCAACACGCTGCGGTCGTGAAGTCGGTGGGACGTGTGAAAAGATGTTTGTGTTGTGAACAGTGACGGGGGGAGGTTTGTGCTGGTGCGGTTTTGAGCTGCTCACCTTTGCTTTTCATTTTGTCTGATTTTTTGTTTGCTGGATTTATTTGATGCTGTATTCTCCTTAAAATTGAATTTTGTTTTGAAGTTTGTCGTGCGTCTTCGCCGCTTTTTCATCAACGATCGGATTGGTTGTTGCGCTGTCTGGTTGTGGCAAATAAACAACAAACGAAAAGAATAGTAAAGAGGAGATTTACTGTGTGCGCGGGGGGTCAACGCGGGGGCAACGAAAAACAATACCCCTGTTCTCGAATCCTTATTATTGTTCTCCTTCTGTGAAGGACTACTGGTGAGGCGGAAGTTTGTTTTCAAACTGGTCAAACTTCTTTAGACTTTTTTTTCACTTGTCAACGCACAAGTGTCGCCTGAAATTGACGTGGTTGCGCATGAAAGTCGTTTTTTCTCTTTACGATCACCCCCCTCCTCTTGTTATCTCCACATTCTTCACATATGTTTTATTTTTCAAACTTGTATCATCCAGTCAGCGCGTATTGAACACCACTGCATCTCGCTCACTTCGGGGCTGCCTTTAGGTGCAGTGAATCTTTTCCACATCACTAGTAATAAAACGAAAGTAAATGCGTCACTGGTCGTGTTGGTAGGGGCGTGTAAACTCTTGCTGATTCATTTTAGCTGTCTCGACGCATCACTGGAAAGTTGCTTACTTACCCTTCTCTTTTCTACCACACTCTTTTATTATTATTATTAGTTTTGTTTTCTTTTCAGTAGTTTCTGCTCACCCCCTTTTTTTTGCGGTCACGACATCTTTGTTAGTATAATTTCTTTTTCTTTCTTGGAACCTGTCCTAGTCCGACGACGCAAATGCGCCATCAGCTCGTTGCAGTTCTTTTTCTCCTTTCGCTTCTCCAAACAAGGGTCTTCGTGACGGCTGACGCGCCGTCCGTTGCCCGTCATCGATGCATTCATAGGCACTCGAACACTCTTCAACGCATCACGAAAGCGGCAGCAGAGCTGAATGTGGAATACGTAGCGTCGAACACGTCAACTCCGACGGCGACGAAGTCATTGTCGGTAGCGGATGACGGCGATGCCTTCTTATTGGACAGGCCGTCGCGAACGGTGTCGGCGCTGGCCGCGGAACCGCCGGCTGGACTTGGCGGCAAAAGCGGGCTCGCTGCAGCTGCCCAGACGCCCCGTGATCTCACCTATCCTCCTATGCGAATTCGGTTTGATGTCTCGCACCTCTTCAATGCGAGTCACTTCTGCACTGATGTTGGCAGTCAGCGCAGCGACAAACTCGGTGGTAACGTGACGTGCAAGCAAGATGACCTCTTCCGTGCGTGGAAGCGGGACTTCGTACTTCACCGTATCATACCCATACTGGGGAGCTCTGTAGAGCAGTGGCTCAGTTTAAAAGACGCAGTGGCCGCGGACCAAAACGAGTTGACAACCGCTCCGCGTGACGCAGGAGGGAACCGAGCTTCACGCGTGATTGTGCCGCAGGGAATATGTGGCAGCAGCATCGTCGTACCTCACTCGCACTCCACGAAGGGCGTCTACAACGCAGATTTTATCGTCTACGTTCTGGCGGCTCCGCTGCATGACACCGTCACGACAACCAACTCGCGTGCGTCAGCGTCGACGTCGTCTCGCACGATTGCGTGGGCGACTTACTGTGCCGTGGATCGTCGCACGAAGCGTCCGCTGGTGGCCGTGATGAATTTCGTGCCGTCGTCGCTTGTCCTTCACGCAGCGCCGTCCGCCTCCGCCAGTGAGGGTGCTTCGTCTTCGTCGTCGTTCTGGCTGCGGACGTTGAAACGTGCCTGGCGCACGCTTGTTTCTTCGAGTACGACCACAGGCGGCGCTACAGAGAAGCAGCTGCGCAGTGCGGTGTACAACGCGAACCAAGCAATATCCTCATACTATGCGCAGTGGACCGCGCAGCACCATCGTTCGCTGCTGCATGAGCTGTTGCACGCCCTCGGCTTTGCCCCCTCCCAACTGCAGCGTTACGCGGCCATGGTCACCCTTCGACGTGCATCCACCTCAACGACAAGCGCTGCTGCTTTGGTCATCACGACTCCCAAAGTGAAGGTCGCCGTGCAGAGCTGGATGAACTGCACGAGCGCCAAAGCACTGCCCGGTGCGGCGCTGGAGCGGAGCGGGTCGGAGGGGACCGTCGGCGCCCACTGGGAGCGCCTACAGTTTCACGATGACTTGATGGCTGGCGTCCTCTCGCCGAGCGCCGCCTTGTCGGACATGACGATCGCCTTCTTCGACTCGCTGCCGTACTACCGCGCCGACCGCCGCTACGCGGAGCACCCGATGTGGGGCTATCATGCTGGGTGTGATTTTGCGGCGGGGGTGTGTAGGCCGGTGGGGCGCTTTGCTGCCTTCGATGAGGCGAGCTCGAGTACCAACAGTCACCGTCCTTATTGGACCACAGACGCGGAGTCCGTGACGCGCTCCAGGTACTGGTGTGAGGCAATGCCGCCTTCTGCGGCAGGCCACACGCAGTGCACGGCGGATCGGCGGGCGATTGGGTTCTGCTTTGCGCAGAGGGAACCGCCGAACAAAGGCAGCTCCGCAGGCGATCGGAAACGATCTCCCGCCGCGCCCTCCGTGGAGAGTCACGGCCTGTCACTGTTGATGGAGGGCTGCCCGATTGTGGAACCGTATTCCAACCGCGTGTGTGACAGCTCACCCGTCTTCGAGTCCCCTGTCGGCGATGCCACTGGAGCGGACTTCACGGAGGACAACGTGCACTACCAGCGTAGCGTGCTGGTGAAGGACCAAGGCTACTACTTCGGCCCCTTCAGCCGCTGCTTTGCATCCAGTGAAGTCCGGCGTCTCGACCGCGAAACACGGCGTGCGCTCGCCGAGCAGATGTCCCGGGCCACTGACAGCAGCGCAGGTGGTGTTAACGGTGTCTTCCTTTCTTCCTCCTTGTCGAGCAATGTGCGTCGGGCACCCGTGGCGCACCCGCTCGTCACCGCGCGCTGCTTACAGACTCGGTGCTTGAAGGGCGGCACAGCGGTCGAAGTCCGTGTGGGCACGGAGTGGATCCAGTGTCCTGCCGACGGCGGCGCCGGCGTCGTGGCCGTACCGCCCACCTCCGGGTACGCGGGATGGGTGGGCTGCGAGGCAGCGGTGCTCTACTGTGCCGATGCGACCCAATTGCAGCGGCCCACCCAACTCCTGAGCAACACGCCGCCGGCCACTTCAAAGACGAGTTCCACGGTGCTGCCGTTCTATCGCGTGACGGTGACGTTTTCCATCTCGCTGAGCGCGGCACCCGTGGCGCAGCCTCTCACAGTGACTGCGGAAACTGCGGCAACGTTTCGCATGTCTCTGGTGGACAGTGACAGGGCTTTCCAGGCTGCGCTGCAGCGCGATTTGGCGCGTCACCGTGCGAGGCGTGCGCTGTCTCCCTTGGGGGCTGTTATGGGGCAGCGTGTGGCTGGCGCGACACGACTCACCACTGCGACGTTTGCCGCGTTTGCAGAGGATGGTGGGGATGACGTAGAGAGAAGGAACTCATCCAGGAGCGGTGCGTTTCCTCTTAATTGGAAAGGCCTGGTCTCCGCCGATTTGGAAGTTGTCGCGCACGGCGCGGACGAGGCGCTGTCACGCACGCAAGCGTGGTTAGTTGCCACCCCGAAAGGGGCAACTGCCCCGCTCGCCGTGACAGACGGTGCGCGCCTTTCAGAAGTGGAGCTCATTTCCACTGCAGAATGGCTGTCACGGTCGAGCTGCGCTGCCCTGGCTTCGACGAGTCGTGCAGATAACAACAGCTACCTTTTAAGTGTGGATGAAACAGGTTCTCTTCCCATCTCGTCTTCGGTTCTTCCGGCGGAGACAGACGCAGCTGAGCCTGCCGTCGCACCACGTGCCGTGTGTCAGGTGCGCGGCCTTGTGACGTCCCTCCCTGTCAGATGGAAGGCCTCTGCCCGCAACCACACCGCGACCTTCTCTGTGGTTGGCCCGCTGGACGTGTCGGAGCACCACAGCGGTGCGATCGATCTGCGCGAAGTCGCCGTCGTGCATCTTCGTTTCCGTCGCAACCACGCAGCCGCCATGAGCGCACTCTGGCCAAATTCTACAACGGCAACGCAGAGAGCGCCTGCTCTCGATGTGGAGGCGTGGGTGTCACAGGCGGCGTCCCTTCTGGCGCTCGCAAAAGACATGGGCGCCCTTCTCGGTCTCTCTTCGCAGATGGTGCGTGTGGCATCCATACGACGTTCAGCCAACATACAAGAGCCTGGACACGGAACAGTGAACACCTCGCGCGCTAAAAAAGCTGCCGACGGGTTATCACCTTCGCTGCAAGACGCTATGGATGTGGGCTTCGTCGTTTCGCTGCCGATGTCCGATGAGGCGACGTTGTGGGATGGCGCCGGCGCAAAAGGCTCTGCAGCTTCTTCAGCGTCAGACGTGCTGCTGTCGTGGACCGCCTTTACTGCACGAGTGCGGGTAGGTTGGCTGCGGCAGCTGACCGAACTTGTCGACGGAGAGGGGGCGGAGGAGAGATCGTTGTGTCTTCTCCGCCACGCAAACGCTCTGTTCCAAGAGCAGCAGCGAGACTCCGCTGAGGATGGGACGGCTTTTGCGAATGCAACGCTTGCCGTTCGGTGTCCCATTGTGCTCGATGCGGTGGTGCGCATGCATGCCCCTCGGCCTGGTGCGTCTGCCGAAGACCTTTTCCTTGGCTCCAGCATGGGAAAGACGGAGCCGTGGTGGGAGCGGCGAGTGGTGGAAGTAAGAGGCTTCACGGTGACCGTGGCGAGCTTTTTGGGCAGTGTGCTTGTGGCCGTCGTGCTGGTTCTCTGTGCGTGTAGAAGCGGGCGATGATGCTATAGAATGAAGGAAGGGAGGGAGGGGGGAGCAAACCTCCCTCTTCCTTTTCCTTATCCGCTCTGATACGTACATATCCTTGTTCCCTCTACTACGTGCTAACTCTCTGTTAAAAATGGTGTTTTGTCTACGTTTTTGCCCCGCCGGTGGAGCCGGGTGGTTACGGTCGTGTGCATTTTTTCCTTTTTAGTTGCTCACACTTCCCCATTGGAATGAGGAAAAGCAGCGACACTATTTTCCTTTTCTTTCCAGCGCAATCGGCGTTGCTATCGTTTGCCGTCAGCGCCACCGCTTCCTTCGTAAGCGGGGGTTTAAAGCGGTAGCATTCAAATGCAATCACCATATGCGCCAATGAGAAACCCTCAGCAGGTTTTTTTTGTGTTCTGCGCCGAAAAGAAGGCACGTTGCTGCACTGTTGCAGTCTTCGTATTCGATCAGCTCTCTCCTTTTTCCCCTTCTTCTGCAGCACGTGTTCTGCCATCAATGATTGCTTATGATTCCCTTCACCTTTGTCGCCGTGCACTGGGCGCGTTCACGCGTGAACAGCTCCAGCTTGTATTTGCTGTGCCTCTCTCAATTCATTTTCACTGCTTTCTCCTTTTTTGGGTCCTCTCGCTTATTCATCTTTTTGCCTTGATGTGCGTGGTGTACACAACTCTCACCCCCAAAAAAACCAACACAAAAACAAAACCACTCCCACACTCAAATACACTGAATGAACAACATCAGCATAGAGGTGGGTCAAACACCTCTCGCCTGTTCTTCCTTCTCTCTTTTTTTTTTGCAACATGCAAAGCCGCAGTACTTGAAGTGTACTCTCGAAGCTCATCAGCTAAGGTACCTTTACTCTAATTTTTTCTTTCCTGTTTTTCTCCCCTACTCTATCGAGGCGAGCGTCGTGGCCGAAGGCCGAAAACGTCCCCCTACACGTACTCCTCGGCCGTTTCTCAACTGGAGGTACCTTCTTCGCTTGGCCTCTGTGATTGCATTTTTCGTTTTGTATTAAGAGTGCTCTTATTGAAACACGCCCACACACACTCCCTCACAATAGAAAGAAACAAGAGTACTTGTGAACGCCACTGACTCTAAAGGGCCGACAATTCTCAAAGCTGTTTCATGTAGTCACATGGGAAAGGTGTGTTAGCGCTGCCTCATCATTACTGTATTTTTCTTGTACCTAAGGAAGTAGACTTACTAAGTGAACACACACGTGAAGAGCATAGCTATCAAAAGCAGCATTAACTTCCGCAGACGCAAACTGTCCTTCTTCTGGTCTTCCGAATTGCGTGGTGCCTTTTCGTGCGTTTCCTCTTTTCACCTCACATAGTCGCCTTATTACTATTATCTTTTCTAAATAATATAATGCATAATTACTAATATTCTAAAAAGAAGCAATTCTGAATAGAAGCGGGTTTTTGCAAACGTTTTTTTTTGTTCTGTTTTGGCGTGTATGTTTAGAGAGCGAAGCAATCTGATAGACGAGAAGGTAGAGGAGAGTGCCCCTCTCTCGATCCTTTTTCCTTGATATTTTTCCTTTTCAACCGTATTCTTTTTTTTTTCTTTTGCTTCTTCTTTCCGGGTTGAAAAGAAAGACAAACTGAAGGAGGAGGCAAAGAAACTCGAAACTCTCAGAGGGACGCGCGAGAATCTGAAAGACGGACGGGGAGGAAAAGCGAAAGAAACAATTTACACACGACAGAGTACCGTTGAAGAGGACAAAGCATTTTTTTTTCTTTGCTCTCATTTTAGTAGCTCGTGAGCTTTCGCGCCCTTTTTGTTTTGTTTGTTTCACTGGCGCGTTAACACACGCTGCACTTTTTTTTTTCTCTGAACTGCACACGTACAGCTTTATAATATCACAGAAACGAGAGAAAAAACACGTAGAGGTGTGTTCGTTGTGTTGTACTGTCCACGCCTTTTTTTTTGTAATTACGCTGGCCACTCCGGTCTGTGAGTTAGTTGTGTACACCGCCCACTGGACGCGCCGATCTTCTTTGTTTCTTTCATTTAAAATTCACAACGTACCCAAACGGAAGCAAACGAAAAGCAGACAGATTTTACCGCAGAAAAACTGAAGGTTGCTTTGCGTGGTGCTTCTTCTTGTGTTTTATTAGCGTAGCGCAGAGCGAGGTATTAAAAAGTCGATAGTACACGGATTAGTTATCGACTTTCTGGAAGCGGTTACATTTTCTTTCGCCTTTCGCTTCTGTGGTACGTTCTTCTTCTGCGACACACGCACACAAAGTTGCAGCTTGCACGGAAACTTGCTAATTGCCGAGTCGTGTAGAGAGACTCGGGGGTTTGCACTGTTTGGCTGCAACAAATAATAATAAATATTTTTTTGTTGGTTGTCTCAGAGGGACAACTTCTCTCTTCTCCTTTTTTGTTTCCTTGCTGCCGACGTGCGGCGCCTTTCACCGCGAAGGCTCAACGGTCTTCGGAGAACGGGCTGCATTTGTAAATAATCGATTACCTCCTTTTTTCTTTCTCCGCTGTATATATATATATATATCTGAGACGCGTTTTTTTATTGGTTTTTCTTTGTTTTTATTTCTGTGATAACCGCGCGACTCGCAACATCAGAGTGTGCCAATTTGTACGTGTTTTCTTTGTGGTTGTTTTCGATTGATTGACTGAGACTTGCCGCGCATACGGTGCGATTTGCTTCCCTCGCTTACTTCTTCTCGCCGTCTTTGTTTCTCCTTGCCCCAGAATTCTGGTGTCACATGCCCCAAGAAGAAGAAGAGAAACGGAGCACTGAAACACCGAGAAACACGACAACGATTTTTCACGCAGTATAGACGACGCTTCTAGTTTTATAACGGCATTTGCAGCACCGCATCAAAGCAAATAAACCATCAACGCGTTATCTTTGAAGCGGTTTATTTAGTGAGCACCTAGCCCTGCCGTTTCTCTTCCTCTCGTTGTCCATTTAGTCAGTTATTATTAGTATTAGTATTATTATTGGAAGAGTAAAGCGTTGCTTTTTGTGTTTGGTTCTCTGGTCGTCTGTCTTGATGTTTTCTTTCTGTTTTTCATTTTTCCACTCATTCATGGTTTCCCCTTCTCCCTTTTTCGGTGTTGTTGTTCGGCTTATTCGCGTCTACAGACGTCCGTGATTCGTTTGCGTTTTGTTCTTTTCCGTCTGCTTTGATTGATGCGCTTCGTTAACTGAAAAAAAAGATTCTTTATACATTTTTGTTTGCGAAATATATATCATTATTTTTTTTTCCTGTTTGCGAGCCAAAGTGGGTCTGAGCTTTTATTGAGTACCACTGTAAAAAATACATATATTTTTTTCCTCTTTTGCTTCAAGATTCGCGCATCAAAATATCAAAAGCACACTACACAGAATCGCATATTTTTGAACGTCGACAAAAACAATTTGCGCAGCGCTTCGGCATTGCTTATATATATTTTTTCTGTTTTTCTTTCTTTCTTGTTTTCTTTTTCAATGCCGCTTCTCACGGCCTTTGTTGCCGCCGTGCTGCTCAGTGAAGCTTGTGCTGCTGCGTCCAGCGCCGTCGTCGCGCACAAAAAAGGTGTTCAGCACCTCGGCCGCGACCGCCTTAGTGCTGTGGCGTCTCATCTTCAGAGTGGCGCAGCTACAACTACAGGAAGTGGTAGCACCTTCGTCGACGAAGCAACGCGCGTTCTGCTTTCCAATAGCAGCCATCCGTCTGCATCTTTGGCGCCTGCGAAACCGCACTGGGAAGCGTTTTGCGGCACTCAAGCGCACGAAAAGTGTGTTGCTCTCTACGCCTCCGCAGTCCTTGTGCCTCTCGTGCTGCTCTCTGTGCTGTGTGCGTGGTGGTTCGTGCGGTGGTGGAGATGTGGGTCACGAGGCTTACACAGATGGCAGCGTTTGGACACCTTCGATGCTGAAGATGGCGATGGTGTTGTCCGCTCCACGGTGGAGGTAACGGAACGCGAGGGCCTTCGCACCGCTGAGGCAGCCTCGCATCGCAGCGATGACGAGGGTAACGAGAGCGCACACCACGAAGGCAGTCACAGTGGGGATGGACGGCTGGCGCGTTGCGTGCAGCGCTTAAATGTACGCGGCACACGCTTGTGGACAGTGCTGCGCATGACTCCTGCCGGCCTGTTTTACAGTTCGTCGCAGCCCTCCTCCCGGTCGCAGACACCCCCGCCGACACAACGTTCGTTTTCCGCTCCAGTCGCAGACGAGACGGGAGCAGAGAGTGACGGCGATGGGTGGAACCTGCATCGCGATGCGACCGCGGGCTCTGCCTCGGACGACCACAGCTACCTGCGCAGCGTCATCTCGGTAGCGACGACAACCACCGACTCGTCCGAGAGCGGCGGTGACAGCGGCGGGCGCAGCGAGGACGGCGACGCGGCTGTCGCAGCCCGACACTGCTTGTGCGAAAGTGAATGTCTTGTGGAGGAGGCGGCGGAAAGGGGACGTGCCGTGGGCCGCTGTACAGGGGCCAGCCGGACAGCCAACCGCCCTCCCACCCCCCACATCCTGCCGCTGCTTCTCGACTACAATGCCGCCTCTGCCGCGGGGCGCGAGGATGAGGGTTGCGAGTTGGCGGACAGCAAGGACAGCGACAGCCAGCGAGTGAAACGACCCGACGAGAAGACGAGGCACCCGTCGACATCGTCCTTGACGGCCAGCGCGAACTCGTCAACCCACACCCCGCCGGATCTTTCTGGACGTGTACACGTGCCGCACACCGGCCCCACGGAAAGCGTCGCACCGCACGAGAGCGGCGACACAAATGCTAATGCCCGTGTGGTCTTCCCCCATGTAGAGACGGCCATCTTTGACGCCATCACCACCAACACCGGTGCGGTGGGACCGCAGAGGACACCCTCCCCACCGATTGACTCGAGTGCGGTCAACAACCTCTTTGAACCAGACCACTTCCCCACTTTAGCTTCACATCCGCTGATTGAGGCGCATGCAAGCAGTGCGGCATCGCTCCTTAGCGGATTCGACAGCTACGTGCCACTGCCCGGCAACTCCGGCACGGCGACCCCGGCGTCGCTACGCGGCTCGTCCTCCTGCGTATCGCTACTCCTCCCCGCCTCTGCCGCCTTACCCGTCTCCAACTCGCTCAGCGACGGCTTGGATATGGATGGCGAAGAAGTTGTGAGGGAGTTTGACACGACAGGGCACAGTCGCAGTTACACCCCAGCTGCCCAGAAACAACAACCGCAACAACAACAGCAGCCATCCCAGTGTCTAGCACAGCAGCAGGTGCCACCGGTACAGCCGTCACGACCATCACGACCGCAGCAGCAGGAGGCGTCAAAGGCCCGCCGCAAGCGCTCCAGTTCTCAGTATAGCGAACCCTGGCAGCCTATTCTAGTCTCGCGTGGCACGTCTCCGCTGGCCACCGCCGCTGCTGCCGTCGCCGTTCTGCCCACGATGCCGCTAAGCGATCCGATGACGGTGCTGCCGCGCGGCTCCCCCTTCCCCCCACGCTCCCCGACAACGGATCTCCGTGGTGCCCACGAGGACGAGCTGGACGACTTGATGCTCGACGACGGCGAGAGCGTGCCGTGCAATCAAGCGTGGGAGTCGGGCCACATCTTCAGCGGCTCCAGCACTAGCACCTCCCGCACCGTGACACCGGCAACGGAGAATGACCCGGAGAGTGTCGTGGGCACGCCGACGATGTTCTGCCCAGCCGCAATGGCGAACGGCGTCAACCGCAGCCGCAGCAGCAACAACAGCGATGGACGCATCGGCTTTGCGACAGTGAGTCCCCCTGCCTCGGCGAGTATTCCGCTGCGACTGAAGTTACCGCCCGCCGCCGTTTTTGCGCGCACTGCCGGGGCTGGAAGGATTCATGTCGGAGGGTGCGACGTGGACTCGAATGGCCGCATGCTGCCGTGGGCATCCTGCAGCGTGGGCCGGCGTCCGTTGAACCTCTCCGTGGAGGAGCGCACGCTGCTCATGAAGAGCCGTAAGTGGCTTTTCCCGTTGATTGATGGTGCGGATGAGATCGAGTCGAGCGGCGTGGATGAAGGTGAGACGAGTCGCAACGATGAGGGCGCCACAGCTGAGAAGTCCGAATCGTAGGAACTGTTGTGTCGGTGTTCATTGTATTGGAATGATATATCTTCTCTGATGACATTCCCGTGCACTTAACTTCCTTTTTCATTTTTATTTATTTTGCTGGAGGAGTCTGTGCGTGTGTTTTATACGTTTTTTGTTTGTTCTTGGCTTTCCTTGAATACCCCCTCCTCTCCCCCTCACACCTTTTCCTGTACATTCAATCAAGAAGGCTTCGATGAACGTGACACGGTGTGAAACATAACGGCACGGCGGTTTGATATCTTTTGTTTTCGATCTCAAAATCCTCTTCATTTGTTTCTGATCTAATATCTCTCTCTGGTGTTCTGATGCATGTTCTCGCTTTCGGCTGCTTTTTAAGTTACTTCCGTATCAGCTCTCTCTTTAGGTATTTTCCTTCTCTTCAGCTATATATATATACGTTTTTCCAGCTTCGATATGCTTCTTTTTGTTTATTTCCTCGGACCTTCCATTGAGCAATTGAATTCAAGAGCTCACATTAACGTTACTCTGTGCGGTGAGCACTGCTGACTCTTGAAAGGAGGATTGAGAGTATTTTTTTTTGGATTTTTCTGCGCGAAATGAGGAATGCGCAGCGGATCTGCTCGGCCGAAGGCATGGCTGGGCGCTTCAGCACTTCCCATTTCCCCCTCTCCCACCAACAAATGGTGACTTCCCAATCGTGCCAGAGATGCGCTTTATGCGAAGTGTAGCGTGGAGGGGGGGGGGGCCGGCCGTCAAAAGCACGTGCCTCTCTCTCCGTTTCAGCCTTGTCATTTCTAGCACCGTGCGTTTGTGCAAGCACACCTTCTCACATTTTCCTTTTTTTCTTCTTCCACTCGTTGCCTCCGCATCCTTCCCATCACGACGTTGCCCGCGCTTACTTCACACAGGATACCCACCGCACAGTTGGCGCCGTCATTTGCTGTCGCTCTCCGCACCTTACTGCCCCCTTTTTTGTGCTCTGTGCTTTCTTCGTCGTATTTGCTGTACCACTCACCCCCCGGCAAATGGCCTCTCTAGCTTTTCCACTGCGGCAAACGGTGCTGCCCATTGTCGGGCAGGGAACCAAGAAACTCAACTTCCCTGTACGCCGCATCTATTGCGTAGGCCAGAACTTTAGTAGCCACGCCCGTGAGATGGGCGGCGTCACTTGCCGACACAACCCCTTCTTCTTCTGCCACCCCACCGACAGCCTCGCGACGGACCTCGACAACCACAGCTCGGCCGACGCCGCCATCAGCATTCACTACCCACCGCTTACCGAGAGTTACCATCACGAGGTGGAGATGGTCGTCGCGCTCGGGCAACCGGCGGACGACGTCGCGAAGTCCTGGGCCGACGCGCATACCGCCGAAGGGCCGCGGTACACGAACGTGCCGGTGGAGAAGGCGCATGAGATCGTCTTCGGCTACGCGGTCGGGCTGGACATGACGCGGCGCGATCTACAGAGTCAGGCCAAGGCAAACGGGAAGCCGTGGGACCTAGCCAAGGGCGCTGACGAAGGCGCTGTTGTGTCGCCGCTGTTGCTGGCGTCCGATTTGAAGGCGACGCATCCGGAGCTGTTTTTGGACCTTGAAAGGAATCCTTCCAAAACGGTTTTGTGTGGTGAGATTTTTCTGAACGTCAACAAGAACGAGCGACAGCGCGGTAATCTCTCGAACATGGTGTCTCCCGTTTCGGAGCTGATTGCGCATCTGTCGAAGTCGGTGGCGCTACGCCCGGGAGACCTCATCTTCACGGGGACGCCGTCCGGGGTCGGCGCGGTTCGCACAGGCGACGTCATGGAGGCTGGCATCCGCGGCATCGGCACTCTCACCGTGACGGTTGTGTAGAATAACTACACACCTATATATAAACTTAAAGGAAATGACAACAATACTGCAGAGTGATTGAGAGAAAAGCATGTAGGAGATCCTCACACATCATCAGCAGCAGCAGCGCAGCGTTTTCACTGTTTTATGGTAATGTTTCGCTAACCGCTTCGGACGACTCCCATTTCGTTCCCCCCCCCTCCGTCTCTTTCTTGTGTGCTGGTGCCAGCGACGTATCCTTAGCCTTGTTCTCTCTTTTTTGTTGTTTGACTGTTATTGGCTGTTAGTGTGTTGAGGTGCTTTTGCTCCAAGAGGCGTGAGAAGTGCCGCGTGTGCGTTGGAGACTTCAGAAGGGAAACGGCAACGCCATCTTGGTTTTTCTTTTGTTTTTCCTGTCGTTTCTAGTAATGTTTTCCTTTGTTATTTTTCTTGTATAATCATCATGCTATCGTAGTACCCTATATAACAAAACGCAGAGGGGAATTATCGAAGATAAGTGAGGGCCGGGGAACCTCACCGCAGCGGAGGGAAGAAAAGAGGCAGGCGCAAACAATTGGGTGAAAAAAGAAAAAATATATTTTTTTCTTCAAATGGCGGAACTCGAGCGGCTGTGTCTTCGTTTCTTTTTTTTTCTCCTTGTTGTTGACGTGGATGTCATGCATTCAAAGCGCGCGGAACATCAACAACGACCCCAAGGAATGTTACGTGACTCGTTTTCCCTTTTGCGGCGCTGAGTGGACATTCTTTTTCTTCCAGTGTGAGTGGTCCGTCTGTGCGTGCTCACTGGCGTATCATGTCTACTTCTCGATTTGTTATCATCTGGGTTTCTTTCTTCTCGCTCCGCAGTGTTTATTGTTTTCCGTTTTTCTTTCTACCCCCCTTTTTTAAAAAATGTGTTTTCGGCGTCGCACACAGCAAAATGAAACGTACGTTAAACTGCGATCGACTAATGCGGAGAACCAGAATGCGAAGCCGCAAAGTGAGGAGAGAAGCGGATTTCTGTCCCAGCCTTTTTTCTGTTTTTGTTTTTGCTAGCGGTAGTAACAGCGACGGCAGCCACCAAACGAACGCAAACGCATCTTTCCTTTCTGAGTCATCTTTTTTGGATGGTAAATGTTTCTCTTGTTATATTCCATCAAGTCTTTCTTCGCGGCCTTCGCTTTTGGGTGTTGATGTGTGCCTTTCTCCTTTTCCCTCTATTGCTTTGTGGTTTTGGTGCTATACTTTATATTTCCCTCACACATTCAAGCTTAACATCGTTTGATTCCCATGACGGATGCGCGTCCGAAATGCAACAAACAAACAAACAAAAAGGAAGCAAACACTCGAAAAAAGAAAATTCAATCCACACGCGTGCATACTCCCCAGCGAAAGAGAGATTAACCTTGACGATATGCCGGTCTATGATCGTCCACATACACACATCGTTCCTGGGTCCTTCACCGTTGGTTCTAGACTGGATGGAACTTTCTCTTTCAAGAGGGGCGTCTGAAAAGCTATTGTGTGGATTTCGTAGCGTTTTGAGAGCCCTTCCATCGTGAGTGCAACGAGCATCGCTCCTCCTTTTATTTCAATCCCCGAGACTCTCCTTCTCTCTCTCTCCTTCTCTCGCCATAAACTATATTAAAAAACAACAACACAACCTTCTATTTGGTGGTCACTCGCGTCCATCTACCACACATGCTGTCCTCTCCATAAATAGTAAAAAAAAAAACCTTTTCTACGCTACTGTTTGTACCGATCTTGCAAGGAGGTGAGGCTTCTGATTCTCAAACGTATGCTTTCGTTACATTAGTAGTAAGTGCATCTTGTTCGCCTTTTTGTTGAAGCGGCTCCAAATTTCACCCGGTTTTCTTCCAATTGTTTCGTTGTTCAAAGTCGTTTTATTGATTGGCTGTTTTCTCTCCCGCTGCAGACATTGAAGAGAAGTGTTGTCTTGTACTGCTGGCATTTGCTGAGGGGCTGTGTGGTGTTCCCGAAGCGCGCGTTCGGTTTCTGACTTCCGTTTGGAAGTCTCCTTTTTTTGTTGTTTTCTTTCTTTCGAAAAGGCGTGTCTTCTTGTGTTCTTTTCTGGGGAGGTAAAGCAAGATCGGGTGAGTTTACTTTGTGCTACCGCGTGTTTCTGCTCGCAACGTCTTTCCTTTTTGGTATTCATAAACACATCCACTGCCATATTCCTAAAAAAAAAGAAGAAGAAAAGCAAAACATCCAGCGGTTAGAAACATAGACGAGTAGGAGCTGAGGCGATACCGTTGCGCAATAATAATTTCACATTTATCATAGGAGAGAATCGCGCTGCTTTTCTGAAAAAAAAAAAACCGTCTCGCCTTCTTTCCCGTTCAAGGTTACGTAACGATCGGAGAATTACCCGTTCTTAAAGCAGCTCTCTTCAACTGGTATGAAGCGTGGAGGAAGCAACACACAACTCAGACTTATTATTGTTTTATCTACGTGCGAGCTGCTTCACTTTTCTTAAGCTTCACGGTTCAACGAAATTCTCGCTCTTTTTTTCTTCGTTTCTTGTCATCGTGCGTGTGATTGTGTGTGGGCCCAGATCGTTTTCTATTCCTTTCCTTCGCTTTTCGCTTCTTCTTCTTTTTTTTTTCCGCTTGTCGATTATTGCTTTCTTTCTCTCTCTCTTTCTGTGTTTCACTGACCGCTGCTTTATTATTATTATTATTATTATGATTTATTTGGAGGAATTTATTGCCTACCGCCGCCTTCGAACTCTCTCCGACCAATTTCCGACTGTTTTATGAGGATTCTTTTTTCTTTTCCCTTTCCCTTTCCCACTCTGATAGTTGTCTTCCTATTATTATTATTATTATTATTTATTGAACGAAACCGCGTAGAGCAGGGTGTCTTTCACAGCACGTACACATTTATAACGGTAAACGAAAACGGGAAAGCGAACACGCAAAAAAAAAACTTGTGACACAGCTCTTTTGTTTTGTCGCGGCTCTCTTTTCTTATTCTTGTTTCTGGATCGTTAGTCCGGACATACAAGCAGACGTATATACAAGCGCACACACACGGAGTCAGCGCGCGTTAACGGTTTACCTCTCTCTCTGTTGTCGCCTTTAGCTTTGATACAATGGAGGTGGGCATTAGCGATCCCAAGACACATGTGAAGAAGGTGGCGGCGGAGCTGAAGGCGATGAATGCCGCGAATCTCTACGATGCCATCGATGTCATGTCCACCTCGCTCGTGATGGGATTCGAGCGCTACCTGCGCAAGTTCGAGTCGGATACGGCGATTCCTCTTCTCGTGGATGTCTGTGATTCGTTTATCCACAACGATACGCAAGGCGACATCCTCGTCATTTCCCTTCGCGCGCTGTCCTTAATGATGGAGCACGTCCCTTCCTCGTATGAGGCGGCGCAGTGCTTCCACCAGGCTCTGGTGCAGCTGTCGTCCAGGGCAATTCACAAGGCGCTCTGCATGGAGTGGCATTTCACGCACGCCAACAATGCTGCCATGATCGAGGAAGGCCTTCGCGTCATGCGGTTTATTAGCAAAGATGACCTCACCGGTGAGCTGATCGAGTATGTGCTGGTAGGAGACCTGCTCACTCTGTGCACCGATCCGCAACCGCTAGTGGCGCGGCAAGCCTTGGACACGCTCCTCATGATGTCCTCAAAAGTCGTCATGCCGTCCGAGCTGGACAAGCCGGCCAAGTCCGTCACGTCCGGGTTTCTGTCCTTCTTCAAAGGCAAGAAGAAGGCACCTGCGTCGCGCAGCAGTGATAGCGGCAAGGGCGGCCGTGGCCCAAGCAGCTCTTCCTCGGGCGCCGTGGCAGCCGCCGAGGACATTGTTCCCTTCGCAGATCACCCGACGGTGGTACAAGTCGAGAACGTTATTGCGCCGCTTCTAGTGTCCCTCGTCGAGCGGTACGCCAAATCGCTCACATCAATTCCCGAGCACTGGGGCTTGCTTGAGCTCGCTTTGCAGTCCCTCGGCACGCTGATTGAGCGCGCGCTCATCTGCCATCGCCCACACACGGCGCGCGCCCTCGCCTCCCCTCTTCTGCCAAAAATTCTTTTCCAGCTCATCGTCATGACCGAGTCAAACGTCGCACTGGAGCCGAGCGTGCGTGTCGATCGCGTGCTCTTGTGCGAGACGACCTTGACGCTGTTGACCAACTGCCACCGTAACATGATGCTCGAAAGCCTGCAGCTGCAAGAGGCACACAAGTTCTTCCGGCTCACATTGGACGAGAGTCCTGATGAAATCACCACGCTGCTGGACGACCCCTTTCCACGCACTGTCATTGCGGCGCGCAGCACGCAGCGGCGCGACAAGGACCACATCACTTCCATTGCCGCCCTGCAGCTGTTTGTGCTCGCCTGTCCCACCGTGCCACCGGACGCGTTTGGCTTGAAGCCAAAACTGGTGCTGCCGGTGCACCAGTGGATGTGGGAGGATGAGCTGCGTCACGACAACCGACTCATGGAGGAGCAGTGCGTGTCGCTCGAAACGAGCTGGACCCGCCTCGACCACAAGTCGCGTATTACGGTTCACCTGAAGCAATTAGACGCGGACCTGCGCACCATGACCATGTCGAAAGGAACCCGCGGCGGCCACCGCAACATTTCTCGCAACTACGTGCCATTTGTGTACCATCTCGCGGATGAGACGGCGCTGCGGCCGGTAGTCGCGGTGAAAGAGGCGGGCCCCTGCTCCGTAGACGGCACCACGCTCGTTTGGAAATCGGAAGGCTCCGACGTCAAGAATAGCCGTTCGGCGACGACGACGACGGTGCCGGCATCTGAGAAGCTCGACTCCAGCACCAACAGCCCTGGTTCGAGCTCCAGCAAGCGAGGTAAAACTAAACACGCCAGCGGCTCCGTCTCGTCCTCGTCTTCGCCGGTGCTGACGCTGCCAGCGTCGGTCGTTCTGAACACGCAGCAGGAAGTGCCGGTGAAGCACATCGCGATCGCCGAAGAGTACTTTATCTCCTTGTGCTCGTTTGCGAAGAATACCTCGGGCCAGACGGCGAAGCAGGTGGCGACGTGCGCGTGCGCGTCGATGCTGCAGCTCACGTTTCTGTCTGGCGCCTTGAAGCGCTTTGAAGCGCTGATGGATAAGGCCGTGCTCCCCATGTGCGAGATGTTCCGCGAGGCCCTGATCTCCGCCGACAAGGCGACGAAGGCGGTGGTGCTGACGATGATCGGCTGGATGCTGTACCATCCGATGGCCGATCCGTGCAAATTCTCGGAGAGCGCGCTGCGCTGCGGCCTTCTGGATCAGCTCGACCTTCTTTCCAAGACGACGCTGCTGGTGACGGACAAGCCGACCCGCACGGCCAGCCTGGCCGAGAAGGCAGGCACGCTGGCGGGCACGATCGCGGAGAGGATCAAAGAGCGGCGCGCCGCGCAAGTGGGGGGCGCTGGCACGAACACGAATGTCACGCGCGACACTCCACTAGGCGGCGTGTTCTTGTCCAGCACGATGCTGGCGGTCCAGAAAGTTCTGGAGGAGCTGCGCAGCTGCAATTGTGGCAAGCAAAATGCAGGCACCACGGGGAGCAAGACACACGAGACCGCCATCAAGGAGCTCCTGCGCATCTTCACCGAGGTGACGGACATAACCGCGTACGAGGTGTTCAACGTGGGCGTCGCCTCGACCCTTTTGTATTACCTGCTCGGCGACATGACGCTGAAGGAGTTGGTGGGCGACAATGTGGTGTATGCGGCGAGCGCCTCTGCGTCCACATTTACGCGGGAGACGTTGAGTCAGCCGGATTTCCACACAGGCCCTATTGACAGCAACCGTAACGCGTCCTCTTGGGCCACCATGATGGCGAGCGGCATGCACGCTGCGGATATCCTGGCGATGCTGGTAGACGAGAAGCGAATACGATGCCTTGTGCAGACGGCGGCCAAGTATCCGACCGGCATGCGCCGCCTCGTCGCCGCCCTCGTCGCGAACATTCCGTCACAGAGTAACTTGCCTTTGGTGGAGTCGGTCGTCACGTTTGACAAGGTGGTGTGCAAGACTCCACTGCAGGCACACGAGACCCTGTGCAGCATTGCGCCACTAGTTATGCTATGCGGCGAGGCGGGTAGGCGCATCTCTGCCGCCATCAAAACCGGCAACACGAGCGAGCTGATGTCGCCGACGAGTGCGACGACGAACGTGTCGGCGAACTCCATCACTGGCAGAGTGGCCGCCGCCGTCGCCGCCGCGACCACCGGGGGAAGACTCGGCGTTGGGCTCACCAGTTCAGAGTTCTCCCCCGGCAACGGCAGCGCGGATGGGAAGCAGACGCGGTCCAGCAACTCCCTCACACAAAATCGTGGCGGGTCCACCAACGTGCTGCGCGGGGTACCAAACGCGGCGAACATCGTACGCATCGCAAAGGAGTGCTGCATGGAGGGTCACCGACTCCGTCTGATCGATGGATACATCACGCCTCACATCTGCGACATCTGTAAGCGCGGCATCCATAGCGGCCACAACTGCCGAACGTGCAACTTCGACGTGTGCGAGGATTGCTATGCGAGCTACACTGGCAACCTCGAAATGATCAAGTCCATCGCCACGAAGGAGCGCAACCGCGTGCACCTGTGCGCCTCCGTTGGTGATCTCGAGCGGTGGTTTCGTACCGGATCGACGTCGTCGAAGAGCACCCTGATGGCCCCCACTTCTCAGTCTTCGTTGCACCACCTGGAGCGTTTCACGATTCGGGTGCAGACCTACCTTTCTCGCTACACGGCCAGTGGCTCGGCAGGACGGGAGACACCTCCTATCCCTGCTGCTGCTGCTGCTGCTGCTGCTGCGCCGGCGACCACGGTAATGCCATCATCCACTACAAACCATGCGAATGGGAACGGCATCAAAACCGTCACGGTTTTTCCACCGGCGGAACCCACCACCACTGCCAGCACCAGCAATATAAAAGCAACGGCGGAGTTGGCTGAAAAGCTGCTGAATCACCCGATTGTGGTGCGGCGCCTTACCTACAGGTACCTCTCCCGCTTCGCCACACGCGGCGCTTTGAACGACGAGGGAGTGCTCATCACACCTGAGCTTGCAGAGACGATGAACGCGGAGGTGGCGCGAGTGCTGAGCACGGAAGCTGAGCTCCACGCAGCGGAAGAGCTAGTTCAGGAGGGCGTGGAGGAGCGCTACATCCTCTACCGCACCTCGTGCGGTCTGCTGCCGTTCCAGGAGACGGTGCTGAGTACCCTTTACCGCCGTGCCTTTGCTTTGGGGGACCAAGAAGTGCTGCTGCAGCTGGAAAACTGTCTCATGCGCCTCGACAGCATGGGCGAAGAGCCTTTGGTGCTTCAGAAGAACGGCGAAGTGACGGTTTCGAACCCGGCCGCATCTGCCAGCAAGCGCAGCCGGAATTTGATCTTCGCGAAGAAGCCCAAAGCAGGGGGCTCGTCGCCGGCAAGTTCCTCCTCGCCCGTCTCCGGCGATCGCGCCGGACTGACCGTCGTGACCTCCGTCGAGAAGTCGACCGAGGCGCGCGAGTTCGAGCGGCACCGCGTGGCGATGGACCAGACGTACCTTTTCCACCACTTTGAAAACGATACGGCCGCCTACTGCGCCTGCGGTGCCCACTCCCGTGCGGAGTTCCACACGGAGGAGCCGCCCGCGCTGACCTTCACCGCACCGGACCTGGCCAGCCGTACGGATATGCTGCTGCTGATTCTGCTGCACCGTGTCTTCTTTGAGGAGACGCGTGGCTGCGTCAAGTACGCCGCGGAGGCACGCGACATCTTTGCCGAGGATGCCACCATCTTTGAAAACAACACCATCACGACGGCCGTGGTGCGCTCGCTGGAGGCCTCGGCGCTCCGTGTGAGCATGCTGCCCCCACAGTACGCACTCCCACGTTGGGTGAACTTTCTCCTCCGCGAGGGCCGCTTTCTGATCCCGCTCGCCGTGCGTGCGCGTGTGGCCCGCTTTCTGGCCTACGGCGCCCGTCGCTCCTTCACGCGACACATGCGCATCTTCCGCAACCAGCGCAACGACCGCACCGTGGCGATTTTGCCCGGGGAATGGGCGAGGATGTCGAACCACAAGTACACCATCGACCGCGACGCTTTTGTGCGGGACGCGTACGTCATGCTGCGCAAGTGTGCCGATGCGCGCTTTCCTATCTCGTTTGAGTTTAAGGGTGACGTCGGGGTTGGACAGGGCCCGACGGCGCAGTTCTATACGCTCTTGGCCGCCGAGATGAGCAAGGCGCAGGCGACGCTGTGGCGCCCTAATGGGGAGAAGCAAACGACGACGACCACCGCCCCCGCCACCACCACCACCACAGCACTGCCGCCGCCTCCCTTGGCACCTGCCCACAACACCGGTATTGCGGTCCACTCGAACAACCCCCTGATGATTGGACCGCCGCCCACATCGTTACCACCGCGTCGTAGCTCTGTTACACCGGTCAACTCCCCGGCTCGTATCAGCACTTCTCGCCCAGCCTCCGTGACGAATCGCTCCATCGCCGCCACTAACAGCAGCAACAATTCCGGTGGCTCTGCCTTTCCGTCGTCATCAGAGGTGACACCGCGCCCTTCGCAGGTGGCGCACAGTGCCGTGACGCCGGCGAAAATGCCTACCTGCGCCTCTTTTGCCTCCTTGAGCGGCGTTCCAGCCGCGGAGACCACCTATGTGGTGCCGCCCAACGAGGGCTTCTATCCGCGTCACCTCGACGGCGTCTTTCGCTATCCAGATGACGTAGATAGTATGCCATGCACGCCGCTGTTGCTGCGCAACCACAATCACACCACGCGTGAGGATCTCTCGGTTAGCACGTGGGCCAGTCATAGCAGCGGGCACTCCATCCCTGCCCCAGCACGCCCCGCAGATGGTTCCCTCACCGCGGCAAACAACAATAGCGTGAGTAATAATAATAATAACAACAATAGTAGTACACGATCCCTGAACGCGGCCGCTGCGGTGCACTACGATGTGTCGAAGGCAGCCTTGCTGATTGATAGCAACGTCGGGCTTATGCGCGACTACGTGGTGGAGCAGCGCGAGCGCGTGCGAGCCTACTACGTTGTGGGCGCTGCGCTGGGCCGCGCCTTCTTAGATGAGCAGGTCTTCCCGCTGCCGCTGTCGCCTGCGCTGGCATACTTTATCCGTCGTCACTTTCCGGCCTATCACTTTGTGCTCTCAGACGCCACGCGCATCGACCCTCAACCGCAGTTCCCCATTGACGTCTTCGAACTGCCGATGAGCGCGGTGAACTTGGTGGATCAGAGTGTTTCGCAGAGCCTTGCCTCGCTGAGTAAACTGGATGGTGCGACGCTGGCGGCGCTGGATTTGCCTTTCACGCTGCCGGGCGATGACCGCTTTGAGCTGCTGCCAGGCGGCGCCAACGTGACGGTGACCAAGAAGAACCTGCGTCAGTACCAACGCCGCGTTGTCGGGGCGCTGCTGTACGAGTCCGTCGCGGTGCCGCTGTACTTCTTAACGATGGGCTGCCGCGATGTGGTGCCGTACGAGGCCCTGCAGGTGATGGACGTGGAGGAGCTGACGAGTATGCTCTGCGGCGAGGACAAGCACCCGAGCGAGCCGCTGTGGTCAACAGAGGAGATCCGCTCCGTCCTGGTCGGCGATCACGGCTACCAAAACGACTCGCCACAGCTCGAGTCGCTTGCCCAGGTGCTTGGCGCACGCCTGACCCCGAGTGAGCAGCGCGACTTCCTTCTCTTCTGCACCGGGTGCCCGCGTCTCCCGATTGGCGGCATCCGCGCACTCGGCGCGATCACCGTGGTGAAGCGCTCCAACGCGTTTGCCGAGGCCCGCCATGCCGCGTGGACGGCGGAAGCCTCAACGAGGGCAGGAGTCAGCACGGAGCGCGGCGGCGGTTCGCTCGAGTTGGACGCCGAGGACGACGACGAGGGTCCTCCGGTGCCCGTGATGTACGAGCAGACAGCGATGTCCGACCAAGAGGACTCCTCCACGATCATTCAGGAAACGCCTCGGCCGGATATTACTTCCACCGGGCCCGCCATGTCGGAAGAAGCTGCAGGCATAGCAGTCGGTGCGTTCCCTGAGCTGCCGGACTCGGAGTGGGCGCTGCCCTCTGTCAATACTTGCTTCCGCTACCTCAAGCTCCCTCCGTACCCCACCGAGGACCTGCTGTATAAGAAACTGCTTCAAAGCATCACGCAAACTGGTGGTACCTTTGAGCTGTCGTAGAACTGTGGGGGGAGCGCGGAGGTGCTGATGTGCACTTTTCCTTGCTCTTATTCAGCCCCCTTCATGAGTGTCTCCCGGTTTTTGACCTGTGGGTTTCGCCAACGCAAACCACCTTGTTGGTGGGTTTGTAGGAGAGGAGTTAGTGACGGCTTTCTCGATTTGCACACATGTAGACAACCCCGAAAAGGTGGAAGGTGGCGTCGACACGAAACTCGCCGTTGTCGTGCATTTTTTTTTTTGCTTTTACTGACTTTGCCACGCTGTGTTTGTCGTTGCTGTGCAGATGGCTCTTGTTGTTGTTGTTTTTCCTTCCGCCTGCTGTTATTACACATTATTATTGTTTGCATAACTGAATGCGCTTTGTTAATAGCACCGTTTTGTTTCGCTTCCTACTCGTCTTCAACGGTTGCCTTTGGTTTTCCTCTTCTGGTCATTTATCCTTTCTGCTGTACGAATTTTCCCCTTTTTTTTGGTTGCTCTGTAAGGTCCGACTCGTTGACTTGAGGTCGCCTGTTTCGTCACCTGTTCCCGACAATTCGATGTTGGTTGGCGTAATTCTCGTTCTTCACAACATCCCCACAGGGTGGTCGCCGGCACTGGCGGGAACTGACAGGAATGCTGTGCGTCGCATTCGGAATTCTAAACAAAACGATATCCTTTTTTTTCTACCTCAGCTTTTGAGTGCACGTATCTCTCTTTTTTCCTTTCGTTTTGTTTTTCTTGGCCTTTTCCATCGGTGAAGAAGTATGTGACGGCGACGCAGTTTTTTTTTTGTTCATCAACGGCTCGTCTGGGTGTCGTAGGCGCGCCGACGCTCACGAGGTGGGCGATCGCGTCAGCCATATTTTGTTCTCACGGATTTTCATCTTTATATTGCATGTTCTCTCTTTTCTTTTTATATATATCGTGTATTTGCAACCATGTCAACTCGCAGTATTCTGCAAGAAGGCACCAACATCAACAACACCATACAAAAAAACGAACTGGTTCAACTTTCTGTTGAGTCACTAGCCTCCGACGCCCTCAGCCAAAGTAGAAGCAGGACAGCAAACTCGCGTGATGGATGCTCTGCAAAATATATACATGCATACTGTGAGCTGTCCTTACTTGGCTGTCCGGGAACGAAGCAGGAAGGCTTGCATTGGCACGGAAGAGCAGCGGCGTTGTTGGTATGAAAATGTGTTTTCTTACTGATTTCACCGTATCCAAGGGAGCAAAAGCGCGTGGTAGTTTTTTGACCGGTCATCACTGATAGAACTTCTTTTCGTGGCATTACCTTTTCAACCCTGCTTTTGTGCCCTTTTTGACTTACCTCATTCTTCATTCTCTTTTTTTTCCCCTTCCCTTTCTTAACGACATAACGTGAAATATTGTTACCCGCTCACACCCGCGGTTCTTTTGTTTTCTCGTTCGTCTTCACCGAAGTCGTGCGTGAAGAGCAGAAACACACAGCAGCACCACTTTCTGCGATCCATACCCTTTTCCTCATCCACATACTCTGTCCAACTTTATCGCTGTGCAAATAGGCAAGCGCGTAGCGATGCCCGGAGAGGACGAATTGAGGGAGCTTCTCCCCAAGATGCGTTTCAATAAGGCGTTTAAGAAGCAGCAGGCGTACAAGTACAAGAAGCGCGTGGCGGCTCGAGAGAAAGAGATGGAGCGGATTAGTGGCAAGAAGCGACCTGTGTGCAAGAAGGGAGAGAAGGGCGAGAAGCTGTCGTCCGCGAAGGCAGCCAAGAAGAGCGGCACGTCGTCGTGCAAGAAAGTGAAGGCGGCGAAGAAGACCCGCACTCCAAAGCTAAAAATCGCCAGCGCAGAGACGGGAAAGGAGACAATGAAGAAGAAGAAGGCGCGGGAGCTTGTAGCAGGAAACAAGCAAAAGAATCGGGCCACCGTGATGGTCCACAAAAAGAAATCGACCCTGAAGGGGAAGATGGATGCGGGCAAAAACAGCAGCAGCAGCGGTGTGGTGGAGTTGAGTTCGTCTGATAGCCTCCTTCAGGGGAAAAAGACAACGATGGAGTCGACGCTCGCATCGCTACCACCACCCCTGACGCCTGCAGAACGCGATCGGGCCCTGCTCGCGAAGGCGATTCGCGGAGATGACCTTCTAGGCGGTGACGGCACTGCTTCTGTAGGGGATGGCGCCACTTTCATCCGCCAGGACCCTTCTCTCTACCCTGACCTCGAATTCCTCGACGAGTACGCGGAGAAGAAGCACGCGGAGGTGGTCTCTGCGGATCAGCTGCTGGAAAACGCCCACCACTTCTTCAAAGACCTCGGCAAGCGAGAGCAGGCGCTGAATCGCGTGGCGAAGGAGCACATCAACCACCTGCGCGCGGTGAACCGCCGTGGCGGCGACAAGGACGGCTTCCGCTACGTGGTGCCCAAGAATGTGAAGCACGTCGTGCGGGAGCTGCTGTCGGCGCAGAAGTCCCGCGAAGGCGTCGAGGACCCGGAGACGTTGATTGACCCGCAATCGCTTGTGTCGACCTTTGGCGGCGACGGCGTTGCGGAGACGTCTGACAAGCCGGTCCGTCGTAGCCGCCGGAAGCGCAACCGCACCTACTCCGACTTCTATCAGTTCCAGGTGAGCAAGAAGTGGACGCGCAACGCCGAGAACTTCTTGAAGCGTAGTCGACCCAACAAGATGCTCTTTGAGGCGAAGAAGCAGCAGCGCTCCATCAAGAACTTCTAACAACTTCGCGAAGGGGTGCCTCTTCGGCACACGGAAGATGGTACGACACGCCGACCGTGTTTTCGACGCTCTTTTTTTTTTTAATCTTCAATTGAAGTTTTGCAACCGTAAAAGCCTCGTCTAAATAATGCACCATCGCTAAGCACCGTAAATCAAACAAACAAACAGAACAACCAAAAAATATGTAAGCGGGAGAACAGGAATGCTGATTCGTCCGACAAAGTCGCCTGTTCAGTTAAAAAAAAAAGGGAGACCGACTATGGCGGTGACACTTTGTTGAACTCATGCACCTGTGAAGAGAGTAGAGACGCGTATGCGGGCGTTTGTTCTCTTCTAAAATACACAGAAAAGAGTAGTTGGTAGTTTCATACAAAGAAAACATGTCGCAGGTCCCTTCTCCTCACCCCCTCATCAGCCGCGGAGTACCTTTTTTTTTCCACCCAATTCCCCCCTCTCTTTCCCTCGCCTCCTTTCTCTGTCTTTCCTATCGCTGGTTTTCTTCTTTCCGCGGACAGTGGAGCAGCAACACAAAGCTAGAAGAAGAAAAACAAGATGGGCAGAGATAGCAAGTCTCGCGATTTGTGGAGCGACGAGAACGGCGCGAAGGCCGTGAGTCGTCCGCAGCCCGTCGCCATCGCAAAAGGCTGGAAGGTCGCACCCGATCTCCTACCGGCCAAACCGCTGGCGCCCCGCCGGCGCAAGTACGCACCCATACGCCCCAATAACCGCGACGCCGTTGCCACCCCGCTACCTGGCCAGAGCTACAACCCCGTCGACAACGACCACCAAAAGGCGCTCCGCAAGGCGGTGCGGCAGTTGCACCGCAAAAAGAAGAAGGATGATAAATTTGTCAGGACGATGATGCGCGGCCGCAACCAAACGTATACCGGCAACTTCTCCGCCGACAAGACGTGGGAGGAGGAGGTGAACGAAGAGGCACCAAAGTCGGTGAAGAAGACGACATCCGCGGCAGACGCAAAGAGCTCCAAAAAGAAGCAGGACAAGAAAAAGAAGGTGACGAAGAAGGCGGGGGCGCAGGAGGCACGTCGGGCGATGACGCACCGCCGCCATCCCTCGCGCGACGCCGTTAAAACGGAGACGGACGAGCTCGAAACGCTCTTAGCCACCCACGCTGAGAACCAGGAGAAGCGAGAGGCGGCGCGCCTGAGGCGGCGCGCTGCCAAGAAGGCGAACCTGACCGTCAAGCACTACGGCCGCCACTACCACACGCCACTGGTGGTCGATGTCGCACCGAGCGATAAGCTGGTGGGCTCGCTGCGCCACCTGAACGGCGGTTACATCCACCCTGCACTTGACCGCATGAAGTCCCTCGAGGAGCGCAACCTCGTGCCTGCGCGTATGCGTCACACGTACAACAAGCGCAAGGTGCTGAAGCCGAAGGGTGAGGTGCGCCTGAAACGAGAGGAGTTTGGTGTTTTGCCGTACACGAGCTTCTAAGAAACAAAGCGCCGAAAATGACTTGCCGGTTTTTGCGACGCTGCTTTTGTTAGTGACGATGTGCTTATATATATATATATATATATGTGTGTGTGTGTGTGTGTGTGTTCG